ACATTTTGCTTTTCACTGTAGAGGCAGAGTCTTGATGCTGTCTGTCAGCTGCCACCCCTGCGGTGTAGGCTTACCTGTTTCCCATGGACCACTTTCCATCCTGCCCCCAACACCTAGGAAGCACTGTCTTCATGTCACCTGCGGGAAAGGGCTTGCCTTGCCATCTGCAGGAGGGAGGGCTGCAGAAGGACCCCCTAACCTCCCCATCAGCACTCTGCAGGGCCTGACACCGAGCCGGTCAGGCAATGATGCCTCTCAGGTTGTGCAGGTTCTCACCTGGGGCACATCGTGTAATGAATCCACCCAGGTGGCCCCGCTCTCTGAGCCTGTAGGAGGGGTGTTCTGCACCGATGCTCCCAGAACCGCCTTGAGAAAAAGCCCCAGCAGCCTGTGCCCACCTGCAGATGGTCGGCTGGTCTTGCACTGCCCAGAACCCTGGAGACCAAGGATGTCAGCCTCTCCTTCGTGCGTTTCATTTCTAAGCAACGTCAGAGTGCCCTCTGTCAAGAGCCCAAACCTGAACTGCAGGTTGCCCAATGACCCTATGAGGCAGGTACTTTTTTTTTTTTTGAGACGGAGTTTTGCTCTTGTTACCCAGGCTGGAGTGCAATGGCGCGATCTCGGCTCACCGCAACCTCCGTCTCCTGGGTTCAGGCAATTCTCCTGCCTCAGCCTCCTGAGTAGCAGGGATTGCAGGCACGCACCACCATGCCCAGCTAATTTCTTTTTGTAGTTTTAGTAGAGATGGGGTTTCACCGTGTTGACCAGGATGGTCTCGATCTCTTGACCTCGTGATCCGCCCGCCTCGGCCTCCCAAAGTGCTGGGATTACACGCTTGAGCCACCGCGCCCGGCCCTTGAGGCAGGTACTATTATCCCCACTTTATAGACAAGTCAACTGAGGCTCACAGAAGTGAATCAGCAAGGGGCAGGGCTGGGCTTCAAACCAAGCCTCCTGGCTCCGGCGTCTACACTGTCTTGTCTCTGAGAGCCGTGAGCTGTCACCCACGCCTGCTCCCATCCCTGCATGATTTCAGCTCACCCGTTGTGGAAGTAACTCCGACACTGCTTCTCCAGCGTATCGTCTTGAGCGCCACATGGGCTAAGCCACTGGGGCACACTTCATCAAGGTCACCCTTCATTGACTCGCTGTTTCAGAAGAACCCAGGTCGAGACTTCCACCTGAACACAGAAGGGTGGAAGTGTCCTTGAACCATGGAGAACTCCTCATCGCGTCTCAGGATAGTCACGTTTGGATTTTGCAAATGACTTTTTCAAGAAAGGGAAACTGAGGCCAGTGTCTTTGCACGGCGCATCTTCCCACGCTGGAGACCTCCTTGTAAAGGCAGGCACCTTTCCTCTGGCCCTAGTGCTGGGCTCCCCTGGGGTGGCTTCTGTTTGACGCACCGAAATCCTCCGGGTGTCAACGCATCTGTCTGCGTGCTCAGCACAGGAAGTCATTAACTAAATTACTAGTCGGGCCCCAAAGACATGGACTTGTTCTTCACTCACTTCAAAAATAGGAGCACGCGTCTGGCCACAGGAAAGCCATCCAGTTGGAATGGATAGGGAGGGTAACGCGTGGGGTGTTCATTTTTTTCATTAAGGCTGCGGGGAAGGCGAGGCCTGACAGTTCTTCTTACCAAGGCGGAGAAGCCCACAGAACACCTTTGCTCTCAAGAGGACAGCTCTTCCTGCATCTGGCATCCGTCTCTCCCTGTGCGCCTGGTAAACACCAAGGTGGGCTGCAGGCTCGCATCTGCTCCTCACTGGGGTGAGCAGCCCCAGGGAAGTCCAGCCTCATCGTCTGGGGTACCTGCACCGGGACCCCAGGTCACCCCATGAATCCTGCCGGCCTCACCGTGCAGCAGCGGCCCTGGTGGACGTCGCTCCTGGCTCCTGCTCCCCAGAGGTCTCTGCCTTTGCCACGGCAGCTTCAGCTGTGGCCGGAAGATTCTTGAACAGACCAGAAGGAATGCTCATATGGGGGAAATCTCAAGAAGCAACCAGCCCAAAGTCTTCTGGGTGCTTCTATGATCCAGTCGTGCCTTTGTGCATCTTGAGTTGGGGGTTCCAGGTCGCAGCCTGCTCCCCGCGTCCCTTGGCTTTAACAGTTAGATGCTGGTATCTGGAAGTGGCGGCAGGCACAGCCTCCCCCCCAGTGTCATGTCCCGAGCTGTCCCCAGCAGTAAGGGAGTCCTCGGCAGGCCAGGTACCATCGCATAAGGGCACATAAACATTTCCAAGGACACCGAGAGATCGGCCAGGACTTGGCCTCAGGAATGAAGCTCAACCGGTTCACTGTCGGGAGCAAATGCCAAGGCCCTCAGAACCTAACTTCCCTTCCCTAAGACTGAGCTTCTCCCCTGGGCCTGGGGGACTCTCACCAACCCGGACAGGGATTCCGGCAGAGGTGCTGCTCTTCCCATTTCTCCAGCTCTCCCACAGCAGCAGCTCACTTGGGCCCAGGGGTTTCACCAGGAAGAAGACTCAGTGGCCGCCTTATGAAGGCCATGTGGCCCGCACAGCAGATGCCAGCAACAAGGGACAGACGAAAGAGGGTGCAGGGTGCCCAAGGCCATCCACAGGTGAGGGGTGGGTGCTTCCTACCGAACAATGGGAAAGCCCGTGCAGAGGTGCGGGCAGGAGGCTCATGTGGCTTTGAGGAGGGTGATGGAGGGAGGGAAGGAAGTAAGCAGACCTAGGAGGGCCCGAGGCCTGGGCCAGAGCTTAGACTGTGGACCCAAAGCCACCCTGGGCTGGAGAAGGCTTAGTCCTGCAGGGGGGTCTGATGGCCTGGGGGTCATGTGACAGCCATGTGAGGAGCCATGAGTCAATCTACTTTAGGTTAGCCTTTCACCCTGAACACCCAGCCTGTGCTGAGCATGCAACTTAGTGATGGAGAAGTGTGTGCACGAGAGGGGGCGTGTGCACAAGACAGGGGTGTGTGCATAGAAGGGAGTGTGTGCACAGGAGGGGGTGTATGGATGGGAGGGGGTGTGTGCACGGGAGGGGGGTGTGTGCATGGGAGGGAGCGTGTGCACAGG